ACTGTGTAAATGGAATTGTATGGTCACAAGCTAAGGTTCCTATAACCTATGAGAAATCACATGTTCAATCTGATCGTAACTGCCATGTGATAGAAGAAAGACCTGACTCGATTGAGGTACATTTTAGAAATAGTCAGTCGCCTGACGTGACTATCCTGCAGGTGAATGATGCAATCGCACCTGTAGATGAGCATTCCGTAAGAATTGCTCCAGAGAGGATCCAGAATGTCTCTCTGGAAGGTGATGTTTTAACCATTTCTCTCCACAGGGACTATGTTGAATCTGTAGATCTGGCAGGTCATGCTCAATTCCTTGCCAGAATTGAAAGGGTTAATAACAATTTATTCTTTCCTATGCAAATACATGACTTAGGAAGAAGTAGGAATGCAAAGCTGGACTTAAAGAGTGAGAACAGCTATATTAGCAGAAGTCTGTTAAAGCAGATCGCTAATCCTAAAATGATCAGGTACGCTTCCCCACATGACAGGTGGATCCAGAACCTGGATGGCGAATCAGAGAGTCACAATGTGATAGCAAAATGTTTACTATCTATTTCCATCGGAAATAAGACAATTAAACATTTATTCCTAGTGATAGATGAACCTCGCTATCAGGTTTACGTCGGCAATGATGTCATACATCGCTTTGCCATACACCTTGATCTGATTAATTCCAACTTGTGGACAAGGTTAAAAGGTAATCCTTGTGGATACCTACACAAGGAAAACGCCTTGAAATCAGGACAAATACTCCCATATGCGGTAAGTATCCAAGTTCCTGATGACATAACCATTCCACAGGGGACAAGTAATTTTCTATTACCCCTACAGGTCAAGGAGGGTCAGAGATTGGAAAACTCTGATGCCCTAATCTGTTTATCCAACAGGATACAACAATTAGGGATGGTGGTAACACATACACCAATGGTAAGTATTGGTAAGAATCCCACCTATATCATGGTCAACAATGTTACACCCAATAGTGTGACTTTACCAAAAGGAACATTATTAGGTCTAGCATTGGATGCTGAGTACTATACATTTGGTTTCCAAAACCAAATTATAGGCCTCATCCCTGAAGAATACTTAACTGAGGACGAAATTGTCGATCAAATATTCCATTCCTCCCCAGAAGGATTATTCACTATCCTATCTGTATATCCCTTCAACGTTGAAGAAGGCTCGTGTAAAATCGAAGAGGCATCAATTACCTTCGATCATCTGCTCAATGAGCAGGAATCACAGGAGTATCTCGACCAAAGAGAAAAGGTAAGTCAACACCGAACTGACCTAACTTCTAGGCTTGAAGAAGCTTATGAGATAGGCCAGCCTGAAATCTTTCCAGGATTTCAGGAAAGGCTAGAAGAGCAAATATCTTTAGCTGACGGTTGCTCCAACGATGCTGAGCGGCAACAGCTAAAGGAAATCCTTTTGGAATTCCAAGATATTTTTGCCAAAGATTCCTACGACTGTGGGTTAACTAACCTCCACGTAGCCAGAATACAAACTGATCCGAATTTACCACCTGTATTTATCAAACAATATAGACTCCCATTAGCGTCATATGATGGTCTACAAGACATCATTCAGAATTTAAAGGAAAGGGGCATTATACGTCCAGTGCACAGTTCGTATAATAATCCGATCTTGGGGATTCTGAAACCTAATGGACAATGGCGTTTATGCGCTGACTTACGACAGCTAAATAAACGCGTCTATATGTCTGGTTGGCCAACGCCATACATAGACCAATGTTTGGTACAAATGCAGGGATCCAAAATATTCACTGCCATTGACTGTGCGCAGGGATATTGGACTGTACCAGTCCATAATGAAGACCAATACAAATTGGCCTTCACATTTGGAAAGCAGCAGTATACCTGGACCCGTATGCCTTTCGGTTATATAAACTCTGGTCATGAATTCGCTGTGTTCATGCATAAAGAGAGGAGGAACGTGAGAGAGGAACGTTATCATATGTCGACGATGTCTTGCTGAAAAGCACTTCCTTTGATAAGCATATCTTAGAGATTAGACATGTTCTCACTCAGTTAAGAGAGGCAGGGATTAAACTGTCTTTACAAAAGGCGCAATGGTGTCGCACCCATGTCAATTTCCTCGGACATGAGGTAACTTCTGAAGGATTAAATCCCCAGAGGAAGAAGGTTGAAGCCGTACTAAAGGCTAAAACACCTTCAAACATCAGGGAATTAAGATCGTTCCTTGGTATGACTAACTACTCCCGTAAGTTTATAGATAACTATGCAGAAATAACTAAACCACTCTTACACCTGCTTAAAAAGGAAACTACCTGGAACTGGGGGGAGCCTCAGGACCAAGCGGTAAGTGAACTGAGGAGGAAGCTCACTCAGGCACCCTGTTTAGCATACCCAGAGGGGGGTAAACCCTTCTATCTGGAGACAGGATATACCGATTTAAGCATAAGTGCTGTTCTGTATCAGAAGCAGGACAGTTTAAACAAAGTTATTGCATATGCTAGCAAGACTTTGTCACCTGTTGAAGTTAAATTCAACACGTGTGAGAAGGCGTTATTGTCGACTGTCTGGGCACTACAAAATTTTCGTAGCTATATCCAAGGTGAGAAAATAATTGTAGAAACAGCTCACCAACCTCTACAGTATCTGCAGAGTGAAAGAATTAGAGACGGTAATCTCTCTAACAGTCGGATTACTGCATGGACTCTATCCTTACAGGGATGGCCGTTAGAAGTCCGTTATAAACATAATAAGAGAAGCCCAGTTGCCCAAGGTTTAGCAGAATTACATGACTGTACTGCTCCATCTCTGGATGATAATGACACCGGAGATGACTTCCTAGAAGAGCAATTGCTATCTCCTTATAAAGTTTATGACGAGGAATACTGTCGACCACTACCGTGGGTATACATTGATGGTTGTTCATATCACCACGTCGTTGGTGCTGAACGGAAGTTAGTTGCAGGTATCGGAATCGCCTGGACAGGTGATTATCCCAATGTATCTATAGGATACAATATTGGTCCCAAAAGCAGTCAGATAGCCGAACTCTGTGCAGTATATAAGACCATTCAAATGGCAATAGAATATGGTATCAAAGAATTTGTTATTATAACTGATTCCAACTATGTTCGCAACAGTTTCGTCGAATATCTGCCTAGCTGGAAACGTAACCAAATGCTGAAAAGCAATAACAAACCTGTTAAACATGGGAAATTGTTTTGTAAAATCGATGAGTGGTTAAGGAAAATGGTTTATCCATATATTGGAAGAAAACCAAAGGCCATTCTAAAATAGAAGGTATTGACAAGGATGGTAATGACTTAGCTGATTCACTGGCAAAACAAGCTGCCATCAATGGTGAAACCCTAAACATTGATGATCTTATGGGTTCAATTCATGTTGAAGCCATAACTAGACGACAGGCTAGAGATAATGCCGACTTAAATGTCGTGCAATGGAGTCAAGAAGCTCCTAGTGAGGACCTGATTACCAGTCAAAAGAATGATCCCGTCATAGGCATATTCTATAGACATATAGAAGACCCTACTGCCAATCCCATCACAGATGTGGATTGCAAAGATAATGAAGATTTACGAATCTTGATGAGATATAAAGTCCAATTTAGTATCATGGATGGGTTACTGGTCAGAACTTCTAAACATGGTATACAACAATGGGTAGTCCCAACTGTATACAGAGGGTTAATGCTCCAACACGCACATGATGCACCTACATCTGGGCATCGTGGTGATAAGATCACATATGAGATATTGCGTGATTATGCATATTGGCCACACATGTTAGGGGATGTTAAGACATACTGTCAGGGATGCTTGATTTGTCCGCAATATCAACCCCATGGTCCAACCCATCGTGCACCACTTCAGAAGAGGGGGGTGTCATTACCCTGGTCTGATATTCAAATTGACTTTATAGGTCCTGTAACAAGATCTTCAAGAGGTAACAAATACATGTTAACCGTTACATGTATGTACACAAAGTGGATAGAATGTTTGCCTTGTAAAGAGAACACGAGTACCGTGTGCGCCACTTTGTTGATTAACCATGTCTTTTCCAGGTTCGGTCTGCCTCAAAGAATTGAGTCAGACAGAGGTAGTCATTTTACCAGCGAAGTAATGGCTAAGATGTGGAACATTCTAGGTGTTAAACGAAAGCTACATATTGCATACCGCGCTGCGTCTAGCGGGGGGGTAGAGCGATATAACCAGTCTATCATTAATATTCTGAAGAAATATGTTAAGGAGTCTGGTAAAGACTGGGACATTAAATTGCCCCTAGTTTTAATGGCGATTAGAGCTACACCTAGCACTGCTACCAAATTGTCACCTTTTGAATTGATGACAGGAAGAAAGATGGTTTTACCACAGCATTTACTATATCGTACTTCGGATCATAACTTGATCAATGCTGCCACTACGCATCAGTATATCGAAGATTTGCGCAAGCATTTACAGCATGCATTTGCTTTTGCCCAAAAGAATCTAGAAAAAGCAGCGACAGGGGTTAAGACCTATTACGATTTAAAAACCACGAAAAAGGAATATGAGATAACAGATCAAGTCTATCTGTATAACTTTGCGCGAAATCAAGTCAAGGAAAAGAAATTTTTACCTTCTTGGAAAGGGCCATATGTCATTATTGACAAAATTTTCCCAGTAGCGTACAAGATAAAAATTCCTAAGGATGGTGATTTTATTGAAAAGTGGGTTCACATTAACCAGTTGCGTGCTTGTCATCCTAAATCTCAATTAAGGATTATAGGTGTGGATTCAGACGCAGAAGGGTGAACGACTAACCTGGATGAATGCTTGATTCACGTGGTATAGTATGATGTGAAATGTTGTGATGTGCCATGATCTCATGTACGTTCATGTCATTAACCATTTCCTTGCCATCCAATAACTACATTTTATAAGCTGGTTACTAGCTTGTTTAACTGCTATAGGCAAATTGCCTGACCGGATTGCCGGATCCTGACCAGACGTGTGTTCATCAGCTTGGACCCCAAGATTTCCATCGAGAAGGCATACAACATTTCATCGATGCAGCTTCCTGAGTTACAGACTTGGTACCAGATGCACCTCCAAAGAGCACAGGACCGTGTGCGAAATATCTTGGAGCAAGCCCTGAAACCATTTGTATTCAGTTCTATTCCGATGAGCAACCGACCCAAAAGGTTCCTCACCGCTATAATTGTTGCATTAGTTTGTGCCACTGTCGGTGCAGTTGTCGCAACTGGAATGTCTGCAGCCAACTCTATTACTGTCCAAAAGCTGGATTTGGAAATCTATGCGCTAAAGCAACACATTAACGATATTCATCAGGTGATACAACAGCAAAGAACACTTCTCCAAGATGTGTTAACTATTGTGGAAGACACAGTTGTTACAACAAATTTGCATTCGGAATTAATTGCCAAATCCACTGAGTTGCACCAAAGTCATGACTTATTTAAGCGTGAACTTCTATTTCTGCATGACCCAATATTGTTCCACACACTTGCTTTTCTTGATGAAGTGCAAACTGGAATGATCGAATTGGCAGGGGGACGCATACCTCTGTATTTTGTATCCAAGGATATTGTTCATGCGATGCTTGCCAATGTGGATGGAGAGACAATTGAGCCTATGCAATTAAATCTGGCCTTTGAGATGGGGAGCGCAATACCTCTCTTAATTGATCCGGAACGTATGGAGATTTGCTTTTTCTTGACCATACCATATGTAACTCCCAAAGACATTTTTCAAATGAAAACAATGTACTATGTAATAATGATATTATGGTTGATTGTACTAAGTGTAAAGTTCAAAACTTTTACAGGTACAAATATACACAAAAATGTTCATTCCACGCACGGGCCTATGTTAGAAATGATGTGATTGCACAATATGTCTAATAACTTCTATAGTGCTTATTCATAAGCTAAATTAATTTTGGCTATGAAATGCACTAAAGGGGGGTTATGTCAGGGTATTTATATCGGCAGACATCTTGTGCTATGGTAGAAATTAAAAGTGTATATTCTGAGTCACTCTGAACAGACCAGACTCCATTTTGTTATTTCAAGTTAACAAAAAGACACTATATTTCTATCTGCAAGCTAACCACTTTCCCAGATCTGAGGAATGCATAGTATATACAAAACAAGTGATAAGGAAGGGGGTTGGACAGACTGTCTAATGCTAAGAAGAATATAATCAAATCTAAACCCAGACAATTGTGACAGAGAAGATTAAATAATTTAATAATATCATATATAATATCATAAGTTAATCTATCAATTATCTAATCAAAAGTTAACTCTTTCCTGGATAGGTATGTTTAGTGGGACAAGACTGCCCTCTACAGACTAAATGCCTAAATTGCGATCTGGAAGATAACCACACCTCTAGTGCTTCTATTGGGTTATCAACTGATGACGTACAGAGAGTCTGGCCCTTTAAAAGTTAGGACAAAGGGAAGATAGAGGATGCAAAAAAGACGAAGGAGGCAGATGCAAGATATGCAAAGGAGAGAAAAGAGAGGAATTGGAAGTTTGGGGACTCCAACCTCCATGCAGAGACACATCCAAATAAATTCCTGAGACTACCAATCGGATGAAATATCTACTCAACTGGTAATTATACTGGTTTCATTTAATTAAATTAATTAATTAAAATGTATTAATAGCATTATATATGACTGGATAAAGCACGGTCAGATTTCCATATTAAGAAATCTTAGTTAACTAAGAATATATAGTTATAAACATTCCATTCTGCAGGTGGAATTAAGAATAATTATATATTGATGTGATATTATCACGTGTTAGCATACCGCTGTTTTTATCCAGGTGTATTGATTTGCTCTAAATTAAGATAGATATCTTTTAGACAAATTAAAAATCTGCTTATATAATGTGGTAAATTCTCTTATTGGATGATTTTAAGAAAATGAATTTAAACTGGTTTAAATGTTATTTTATTTAAAAATTACATAAGAATAGATCTTAACTACCTAGGAGATCTAGCCAGCATTGAAAGGGTTATTCTAACTGTCTGCTAAACTTTACGACCTCACGCTGCACTCTGAGGAATTCTGTTCTTCTGTGAAAAGTTTCACTTTCAGCCTGTGTTAAAGATAGTCATAAATAATTCTTGACAGGAAATGCTATTTAGCCATTGAAACGTAATACCCATTTCTTTGTATTGCATATAATTTTGTACTGGATATTCATTGATTATTGTTATGCATGTTACATAATATTATTTGTTTATAATTAATTTGTCATATAAATAAAAATCTATTTTTATACATTGTGATTATTTATATGAAATACTTTCCACTTAACACGATAAACGTTCTTTGGGATCTGAGAATTGAATTAGTGGGCAATTCTCAACTGTTTACTATTATTATCCCATAAATATCCCCACAGGTGTTTTACATACACTCCCTAATAGAGAAAGGAGAATTAGCCTCGTTCGACCATTTAAAAGTCACTTATACACTGCCGAACATAGCACACTTCTCTTACCTCCAGCTAAAATCCTGGTGGAAGACCCAGGCTCCACACCCCATATCACACACCACTAGTACCTTAACCCACTTCGAAAAGAGTATCATGGCAGACACGCCAGCGGTAAAACCCATCTCAACCATATATAAGCTATTACTGCCCCAACAGGGAATAAAATCCCTCACGTGTGTACGCTCCTGGGAAAAAGATCTAGACCAAACACTGCCAGAGAAGACCTGGCTGGCTGTAGCAAATGTGACCAGAGGCCTGACGTTTTGTGCTTCACACTTAGAGACGACCCGTAAACTTTTTTACCGTTGGTACATGGTCCCAACACGCCTCGCCACCATGGACCCACAAATGTCCAGCACCTGCTGGCGCTGCAAACAAGAAGCAGGCACTTTTTTACACACTTGGTGGAAATGTACAAAACTCCAGCCGTGCTGGAAAGAAGTTATCTCACTCATACACCAACACACCTCAATTACGATACCAAACTCCCCAAAAGCCTTGTTACTACTCCTGTGGGAAGCCGAATACCCAAAACCACTTAAATACCTAATTCTACACATACTAGTAGCCGCCCAAAATCTTATCGCAAAAAACTGGCTATCACCCACCAATGCAACAATGCGAGAATTAATCAAACACCTGTCCCAAATTGGGAAATTTGAATCAAGCATATCCCGCATCCCACCCAATAAGAGCTGGAGGCATGAAGTATGGGAAAACTGGGAACTGAAACACCCGACCTGATGACAATATTTCCATAGGGCAGCCCAGCATTAGCGTTAAAACACACATAGACTACAACCAAGAGAGCCATAGTAACACTAGGCAGACGGCAACTTGTATCTATCAGAACCATGTAACGTTGTTCAGAACCATGTAACGCTGATTAGCATCATTGTTGAAGGATGTATGTTCCACTGCTAATACCCCCTCCCCTTCTTCCTTTCTGTACCCCCTACACTTTTTCCTTTTGTTCGTATATCTATGACAAAATAAAAATTGTCAAATTGAAAAAAAAATTCTACAAAAGGTGACTTGGAAAATGTCTAAAACACTCCCAGAATCCATATTAAGGGGAGAAGTAAATAAAATCTGCATCTAAGGACAAGAAAATTACAAAAACAACATTTGACTTTTGTGGTCTATGTCAATGATTCCAAAGCAAGCCCCATTTCAACCCAACAGTAAAAGTTTCATTGATATCACCTGTTAAGCAGAACAAAATTTTAACTGGAACTGAATTCTAAACCCTGACCTACTGCATATTATAAAACAGCCGTGTGGACACACCTATATAGATCTATCTAATCTGTTTAATCATCGATCCTATAAACTGCGAAAATAAAGACAGCACTTGCCACACGATGTAGAAACAATGGTTTACAAAATCGCAGTCTGCCAACAAGGAGAATAAGTTGGATCTCTCAGTAGTCTCTCGGTGTAAGAACAGGTATTATGTTTCTATTTAAAAGTGACACGATCACCTGAACAAATAGTTCCGTAAATCTTTTAGAAGGACGTTATAGGCACACAGACACACTATAGGCACTTCCTGCTCTTCACTGGGTTTGACTCTGTAAAACAATGCTTGATGTCCTCTTGATTCAATGCTATCCTAAGGGGAAGGCATAATGTGCATGTGGCGCTTGCTGCGCATGCGCAGTAGGTCCCCCCTCGGAATTGTTGTTAGTGGAGAGAAAGGCAGTGACAAGGGACTTCAGCGCTGGAATAAGGTAAGTTGGAAAAAGTTTTTGTCACCCTTTAATTGCCGCAGGTGTGGGTGCAAGGAAGGGGGGAGCTTTGTATTCCTAACACTATAATGTTCCTTTAAATAAAATTAAAACAACAATGCAAATCGGTTAATATTTCGATATTATCAAACTATAGTCTCGGGTGTTCTCCAGTCTGGTTGGAATCATTGTTTGCAAATCTTTCAGTGTTTCAGTGTGGAGGCAGATATCTTGGAATTGCATCACAATTTAAATCGTTAGGAGACAATCCTTTGTAGGGTAGCTCAGAATATCTGTAGTGATCGGGAAATATTTTATTTGTGTGTTTTTAACTGCAGAACAAATTTAAAGTTTATCAAAACAAGTTATAGATAGTCTATAAAACGCTGTATGATTTGCATTTCTAATGCTAGATTCCAATGTGCTGGAGAGGTGGAATAATGAGCACATTCTTTAAATAAAGCAATGAGTTTGGACGGATGCACTAAGGACTTATGCTTTAATGGAGGGAATAAATATTTAAAAATAGCATCTTTTCTATGGATAATAATATTTATGATTTTATATGTTTCATTCGTGTCCAGAGCATAAGAAACAATACAGATCTAAATCCATAATACAGAAAACCAGTAGATGTTGCATGAAACTCACATTTCTCATATTTACTAAAGTGAGAATTTTAAAGTGAATTTCAAATTTAAGACCAGAGTAGTTGAACTGGAAGCATTGCTGATTTAGAGGATTTTTCCAGCTCAGCTATTTTTACCTTAAGTTTCAATTTCACTTTGAATTGCAGACATTTCTCAGTTTAGTGAATGAGCCCTGTCAGGAGAACTGAATTTTGAATGGCAAGTTGTGACTATCTGGTTGGGTTGAACACTTTCTTTCCAAATCTGTTATTTTAGCCTAAATTCTGCAATTCAGAATACAATTCTCTACAGTTTGGAACTTGGTGAATAATCCCGTAATGTAATTATTTAAATTTGAGCTACTTTAGCTTAAATTTTGCTATTTGGTTTTTAATTCACTGCAATTTAGTGTTTTGTGACAAAAACTCCGAAAGGGAATTGTTTATGGCTATTTTTTTTTTTTTTTACTGTGAAATGTATGTTTTATTAAACAGGCTGTTAAAAACCAAAAACATAACAAACCATTTTTTGTGTAAAATATTGAACTGCACATTTACAAGCTGTGTGAAAAGTATATGGTAAATATCTATGGTGTATTTATCTCATTTGCTATTTTATCCCCATTGCCGCATAACCCTGAAACAAACGGATCTGCAGAATTTACAATAATCGTGTAAGTTTATAATTGTTTCCTGTCACATAATCTGAAACTTCACTATACCAGGGTTACTTACTAACGTGCGATTTCAAAGTATATTTCACAATTAAATTCAAAATAGCCAAAATTGGAAAATTCTCGAAGACACCTGTGCTTTCATTCCAGTTTACGGCCAAAGAATCAGATACTCTGGCCTTAAATTTGAAATTCACTTTCAGTCCTCACTTTAGTAAATAATCCTGTATTACGTAGTAAATAATCCTGTATTACGTAGTAAATAATCCTGTATACGTGGAAATGTAACACTTGTGACTAAGGTATTACAAGGATCCCTTTGGAGTCTAAACATTGGCAGGTCCATCACACAGTCAGTGTTGGTGAAATCTTCCTTTCTGAGGGGGACCTTCACTTACATAGCATTGCAAATGAAATTCAAAATAGACAAATCAGAAAAATTCTCAAACACCGTTATTTGTCCAGTTTTTCTATTTTGACGTACAATTTGCCATTCCCTTATCAGCTCTCTGTAAATTCTGGCCTAGTAAATATTCTGGCATATTAAACATTACTGTTGTTTGTATATTACTGAGTCCCAGTATGTTGCACATCGGTGCCTTGCTTATTCTCCCATTTTACCTTGTCTGTGATACGCATCCTCTAATACACACCTCAAATTGCAGACTGATTCTTTGGCCGCTGGATGACAGGCAGACTCTAAAAGAAACACTAACACAAAGCACCTTTTTACAATGCAGTTTTGTTTGACTAGCCCACAGGGGAATGTCAGTTTTGAGTACTAATCCGGTATTTTTTCTCAAGCACATTCTCTGTTACCTGGTAACCCTAATTCTAATAGTTATTTCATGATGTATTTGTAAAAATCCACTACAGCCATACCATGGACAAGGTTCCTAGCCATCTTGGGGCCTGTAGTAAAACCTCACAATTATGCTGGTTATGCAGCAAAATCATTTTGGGATTGGCATCCTCTTATAGGAAGCATTAAACAACATACTTACCAACAGCCCTGAACCCAGCATGGCAGTCTTTATTTTTTAAAACACTCATTTTATGGCCTGGATGTCACCAACGACTTGACTTCTTACCAACTTGCCACCCCAAGTTGCCTCTTCTTGTCCCTGCCTTGCTTTTGCCAACATCTGCAAATATATACATTTAGGTCACCATTTCAAAGTTGTCTTTGCCCATTGTCTAATGTCAGAGAATGTCTGTGAATTTTTTAAAGGTTATAATAAAGATACTGACAGATCCAGGGTTCTAATGAAATCAATCTGTTTAGCAAATAAACCACAATGACATTAGGAAACAACTGTCAAAAATGTGTGTCCTGTGTGAGTGTTATGACCCAACTAATTCACTCTGACCTGTTTAGGTGCAAAATGCAAGGAAAATGCTTTTGACCCAAAACAGCAGTAAATATATCACTAGTTTGAACTAGTTTAACAAGCCTCAATTCAGTTTACTCTGGAGTCTGCAAGTGATCTGCTGGCAAGCTATTCTGTCACATACAGTTGACAGAATGTGTAGTGTATTTATAACAAATTGCACAAATTAGGCCAAAGTTTCTTATTTGGATATTGTCACAGCTTGGCTATTTTTGCCAAAATTTGTGAAAATTGCTGAAAATTTAAAGTAAATTTAGACCAAAATAGCCAAATTAGAAACATTCTCAGAGTCAGATATTTTTTAGTTAGACTAATTTGGCTTAAAATAAGTGAATACCCTTGTAATTTATTCATGAATACAAGTGCGATTTACAACCCCTGGGGCCGTTCATCTTAATCGGAATAGCCATAACTACACCAACGGGAGAAACGTATGGAACTGGAACTAGAGATTTGGCGGTTACTCTGTACATATTCCTACCCTAGCCACAGGCACCCAGGAGAGCACTAAGGTAAAGGAGGTGTCAGGCTAATGAAAAACATTAAAAGTTAGGGGGAGTCTCCTTCCACAGAGCCAGAGATACTTAATCCTACACAGCCTCAAACTCCAGGTCCAATCGGATGTAAGCTTTGCTAAAACTTTACTCGAGGATTACTCAGGCTGTATACCTCCACCAAGAGCCTTTTGGACATTTTACTCATGGGAGCAAGCCCTGTATAATTTGTTCTATGTGCATGTGGGGAAACATATGTTCAGGGGGTTACCGCTGTACGGCGCCTTGGCGGCTGGAAAGTTAATAAAAACATCTTCTAGTTAATTTAGTTATTCTCCAGATACAGAGGCAACAGTGAGGTGATCTATTGTTTATTTTGATGACCCCTATAAATATGTGACTATTGTCCAAATAAAGTGTTGTTATTTAACCCCTTCACCAAGTCTGGACTGGTGTTATAGGAAAGGCTATAATCACTTTGTTGATTCTTTCCCATCGATGGGAAACTTTGGCAGAGGTATTCGGTTGGAGTACAGGAGCTCCACCTCACTAATAACCCCTATCTCTTCCAGATAAGAGACACCAGACTTGGTTTTTGGCTCCCATCGTTTATTCACCAATATTTTAGCATTGCACCTTCTTGTATTTGTATAATCTGTGTATTTTTACCTGCAGACAGGTGCTTACTCTGCCAAATGGGAAACCTGGCCATGGTGACTATGGTGGTGCGCCTGGATGAAACTGTTCAGCCTGAATTTAACACACGTTTCAGTTTGTGAGTGAGTGGTTTGTGATTTTGACCCTGCTCTGGTTAACTTAACTAATGA